GGGGAACAATTCTGCTTCAAAACAAGACAATTTGGTATTCGTTTCCTTCCCAGAGCAACAAGATAGGGAGCAGGTAATGTATCAAACTTTAATGTTTTCATCAAAATAAGGCAGCTAACCATATCTGACCTCAAGTAAGCTGTCTCCCAGGGGAACAAGATTGACCAGAAAGTTTGGAGGGGGCTTACATGTATTTGTGAGGTTGTTCACAAGCATTCAGCAAAAATAATATTGGTACCTACCCAGAGCAACAAGGTAAGGAGCGTAGTTCAGGCATACATCCGTTCTTAAACTGTCGTTTACTATTCGCCTGAAAGAGAACCAGAGATAATAAATTCATTCAGAATCTCTCGACCTTCTAAACACTGTATACCTGTTATATTATAGTGGTGGTTATGTACAACAGATAACCTGAATTACAGAAAACAAATCGTTGATGCTGAAGATTATCTTAACTGAAAAAATGAAAAGGATTTGTGTTTCAAAAGCTAATGAAAAGCCAAGTATAATTTTATGTCCCTTTTCAAAACAAATGCTAGTACATGTAATAGAATTGCTATATGTTCCTTCAAATTGAAAATATCTATACATGTGGGGGAGGAGACTACATCTTAAAATTCAACCTAGTCATAATTGTTTTCTTTCTATAACAAGTAAACTTAATTTTTTTATAGAAGAAATCTAACTTTCAGGAACTTGTGTCAGTCCTTTTCATCTAGAAATTTGGCATGATCTATAACACATGAACAACAAAGTGAGAAAAGACAGACAAGGAAGGAGCATCAAGCCTTCAATAACAACTGACTTAACAACTTACCATGCTAGAGGGTATAATGTGTCCTCATGGCCGATGTCTGAGAAATACTCGGTCAGTGGTCGATAGGGGTGATATAGCACCAAACAACAGTCCTTTAAAGTGAAGAAAACAGGGAACATCAAATCATTAGGATATCCTTTTGTATAAGATAATTTGCATCAAATATGAGCAGCAAAACAGTCAATATATTTATTATGTCAGCAGCATTGACCTAAACACGCACCATCATCATGCAGTGTTATCAGGTTTTGCAATAGGTTGTTGAATGTTCACATCCTGTGATGTTGACATAAACATATTCTGAAAAATATAGCTGGTTCAAAATTGATGAATAGCAAGCCATTTCTGCCAGCAACCAGCTTAAAATGAGAACACTGATTATGTGGCCAGACAATCCAGACCTGAACACACAACCTCATTAGGTAGCCATCCCAAACCAGATATGAACACTCACAATCATTAGGTGACCACCCAAGCCCTGACCTGAACACTCACCATCATTAGGTGACCACCCTAACCCAGACATGGACACTCACCATCATTAGGTGGCCACCCAAACATAGACCTGAACATTACCATCATTTGGTGGCCACTCCAACCTAGACCTGAACACTCACCATCATTAGGTGGCCACCCAAACATAGACCTGAACA